TATAAATTTAAAAAATTAATTAAATAGTTTCTAATTTTGAATTTTTATATTTAGAACCTTCAAATATTTGAATAGTTCAAATTGCACCTTATGGACTTTATTAAATTAATTAAAGTGTTTTATTAAAAGAGAATTAATAATTCCATAATGACATGGTTTAAGTTTAATTAAATTAAGAGATAAATTTATTTAATGGATTAAACCATCTAGTATTTTAAAAGTTTAAAATACACCCTTATACTATATAAAATTAAAAGTTTAATAATTATATATGTATAAGTTAAAGAGTCAGTCTTACCGTTAGTAGGTCTCATTCACGAAACCGGTCTATAAGGGGGGTATAAGGTTACTACCTATAAAATGGTGGTTTAATGGGTGTCCACTCTCACCCACCGCTTCCTTGACTGGTGGAGGGTCATTAGCCGAACGGGTAGGATAGGACATTCTCATCAAAAGTATAATGAATAGTTTAAGTAACTAAATGTCTTACAAATTCCTAATCTTAGTTACTTAGGAAAAATGTGAATTTGGTGCTAACCCATGAAATTGCATTTTGCACCTTGCCAAGTCGTTAGTGGAGCATGTGTGGTTAACTGGCACACTAACTTGGACTACCAAGAGTGGCAAAGGGTAGCTCGATGTTTGTCATAGATCAATGGAGCGTGTGTGGTTAACCGGCACATTGATTAGGTGATAAATGACATCGAGAGTACCAAACTACTTTGCATGGTTATTCACACCTTGTTTGTGATCCTCGGTATCCCAGTCACAAACTTGAAGGGCATAATCGAGATTAAACATGCCATTGAAAAGTTCAGTGAATCTCAAAAGAATCTAGGAATTTCAATTCATTTAAAACTTAATAATCAATTTTGTTTTGCATGATGGAAATTGGAAAATCGTCATTTACCTACCTTCAAATATTTTTCAATTGGATTACGGCATCCCTCTTCCAAATTATAAAATATTGTGTTGGGTCCTAGCCTTAATATTTCATTTGGGTGTTATATTAAGGACTTAAATCAACTAAACTTGAATTTCTCCCTTGTAGATGTCTAGTTCTGACAACTATGGTCTTCTTCATCCTTTTGGAAAAAGTTTTCCTTATGAAGATGATGTTCCCAGAAATCATACTTCACTTCCTCCACCTCTCCAATAATTCTACCTGACCCACAATTTCGTCGACTTGAAAATTTCAAGGTCACTAAGCCCTATTGGCTAGCAAACACCAAGATGGAAGGTATGTGTGTGCACATGTCTTGGAGATGAAGTCACACATTGACAAGCTGGGAATGTTAGGAGTCGTTGTGTCGAGGAAGTTGGTTGTTGACTTGGTTCTTCAGTTACTTCTCGAGTCGTACAGTCAGTTTGTTAAAGACTATTATATGACAGACAGCGACGTGACCCTTATTGATCTTACCCATTTGCTAATTGTTGCTGAATCAGAAATGATTTAGCACATTGGTCAAGCAAATTTGATTGGTAGATCTACCTCCCAAACTTCCATGGACATTGACAATGGAAACATTAAAAGTCCAGAAAAGTATTTTCTTCCCATTGGAAAGGGATCGGCCATAGTCAACCCGGTTGACCAAATGGTAAAGAGAAAGGCTAAGTCTGAGATTGTCCCATGTGCCATTCCGAAAGAGTCTCTTTGTTTCTATTGCCAAGAGAAGGGGCATTGGTTGCGAAGCTGCCGTATCTACCCGAAGGACCACAAGGATGGTAAAGTCAAAATGTATGACTTTGCTTTAGGTAAGTCCACTATCTAACTCCATTAAGTTCCTATTTGGAGATTCTTAATACATGATGTAATGCAATTACATTTTGATGTTTTGTAGGATCAAAGGAATGAAAGGAAACTTAAAGGAAGAGTAGGTTGATTCTGATTGTGAAGAGATGGATTTCGATCGCATGGTTCGATGATCAGAATTTTGAGCTGCTGCTTAAGAGTTATGATAGATTGCTTAGGAATAGATAACAACATAGTTTTCATATGTATTTGCATTGTAAGGAAAAGTTTTCTGCAATTTTAATAAATAAATTTTGATTTTATTTTATTTTAAGTTTCCTTACAACGGCATTTGTGAAGATTGTTGTTTATATGTTTCCATTGATAGTAATATTGGAAATGGATTTGATTCTTTCGTTTGTGGTAGTGTCAAGATTTACCAAATAAGGAAATATTCTCATCACCCAAGTTTCAGTTGGATAGAAACTTGGAATCATGCAACTTGTATTGTGTGATAAATGAGAACTTCATCTTTGGGAAATTAAGACTAATTCCTTGTTCACATGTATATGTGAGTCAAGTGAAGGACTAGGGGATCGGGTACACTTGGTTATGCACTGATCAGGTCCACCACAAAGAACGATAAGACTATTCGTTATGATTTACTAAAGTTTAGTAAATATGCTTATGCTTACAAGATTAAGTGTAATTCTGAATCATTGGAAAAGTTTCAATGTATGGCAGAACGAATAAGAAGAATCAAATTATGCAGAAAGATAAAATTTTCTCCAATCTGAGAAGAAGGGAGAGTACTTGAGTATCGTGTTTTATGATTATCTTAGTGATTATGAAACCATATCACAATTGATCCTCTAAGGACATCTTAGTGCATTTGCATGGCTAAGAAGAGGAATCGTGAATTGTTGAAATTGTTAAATCAAGAAGATAAATCATACTTCGTTCCAAAAACAGGTCTTAGAGTCATACTCCAAGATTGTAACTTGAGTGACATGGTCTTAAGAAAGGTTTATAACACTCATCAAATGTACAGTAAAATGTTTCTTACTCTTGTACATTTGAAATTGTTATGTTGTGATGCTTTTGATAAGACAAATACCAACTAAGACCAATTGTGTGAAGTATTTGTCTTGATAAGAAACCGCACTAACTCTTGAATATTTTTTTGTCAAGTAATGTTCATTGACAAAGTGAATCTTATATGTCAAGAGGTCAGTGGGAGTCTTAAGGATCTTGAATAGCTTCAAGAACTAATCAAGAGTAAACCTATTGTTAATCACTAGCACACGACTTAAGGTTTGTAACCTATCGTGTTGACATATTCTTGTTTTTGTGCTCATTCCAGTTAAAGTTGACTATGCATGTGAGTTCTATGAGTGCTCAATTGTTTGCATAACAACTTGGAAGCAATGGTAGGCCCTCGTGCTGCCAAGTGGCAAGAAATTAAGATTGAACAAGTTCAGTCCATATGGGTTTGAATTTGTCATAGACCTTGTCTTATGATAATGGTTGGGAATGACAGATTCACATGGATAGGAACACATACACCATAAAATCTAAGTTTCATAAGGTTTCTCTCCAATTCATGAAAATGATTGTGAGGAAACGCTTTCACTAAGTAGATTTTAATGAGATAGCAATTGTGATGTTTGCATTGTCAAATTCAATTATGATTACAGCATCCCTCTTCATAGTTCGAATTATGAGAAATGGCAAAAGGTCTAAACATTCGGGACTTATTACTGTAACTTCTGAAATTGTTTAGACACACATGTGAGCTATCTAAGGAAAGGTGTATGAGTTTGAGGAGCCTAGATAAAGTCTTATCAAAGCATATTGTATCAGAAATCTGAACTTTAGTAAGAAAGTCAACAAGTATTGATTTCTAGAAGTCCAACTTATTTATGGATACATGTCAAAGCTAGTGGAAGCATAAGTATTATGCTAGTAAGATAATAATTATTATGCTAGTGGGAGCATAATTATTATGGTAAATGTTGCGAGTTAGCGATGTTAATTATAGAAAACAAAAGTTTCAATTCGCAAAGTTGTAGGGTTTGAAAAGTTGTTTTGTTATAATTAAGGGAGAGGAATTCGTACTTCATTTCGAATCTAAAAGCTTAGATTGAGATTTTAATCGAATTTAGTCATGGACAAATGTGAATGTTATGTTCAAATGATTCAACATAAGGAAATTCTATATGTGGAAATATTATAGCGAAAGATTGGTAAAAGTATCATGTCTTTATGTGAGACATTATGAATCGTATTCCATATGCTTCAGATATAGGATCGATTACATAAGCTATAACAAATGCCTGGGGCATTAAGAGGGAAAAGGGACTACAACAAGATATGACTAAAATGATTAAGCAATTGTCGAGGACAATTTGATGTTTATCAAAGATTGATTGCTCATGGACAATTGGAAGTATAGTGTAAATTTTGGAAGGACCATATTGACATAATCTGAGAAGAGGTAATTCTAGTTCAGAAGTGATAGTCAAAATGGAAATATAGAAATGTTCCATAAGTGGAAGTTAATCATAAAATCTATGTAAGATTAGAAAACTTAATGCAAGAAAGATGTTCAAAGGAATGTACTTTGAATATGAGACTTCGTTTCCATGGAATTGCTCTCCATTGGAATACTTTGTAATGTCTGTTGCCAAGTCTCTATGACTTTTTTGCATAGTCATTATAAGAGGATCATTGCATATAAGTTTAGAATCTAACAGATTTTAGCAAATGACAAGAATTTGGTATTCTTACATTTAGGATAAGGATTTGGAATTATGAGATGAACATCATTGAAATGTTATCTATTGATCTATTTCACAAAGAGAGGACTATAAGATAATAAATTTTCTAAAATGGATAAAAAACAATTTTAAGAATTATAAACTTAATTAAAAACATTTGTTAATATAAAAACATGTATAAGAAATATTAATTATTAAAAATATTATCATGATTAAATATGAAATAAATTAATTACAAAGAATATTTCTCGTTGAAAAATATGAAATATATTAATTATGTATAATATTTTATATACTTATATTTCATATTTAGTTTTGTTAATATTTTTATAATTAATGTTCCATTCTTTAAAACATATTAGAAAATCACTTAAAATATTTTGGCATAATATATTTTCCTAAAAAGTCCCTAAAAAAACAAGGTTGGTTCTTTATCGTGTGTTGTCAAAAGAGAAAATAAAATAAAAATAAATACCCATATAACCCAAAAACCAGACTCCAAAAACTCTGAATTAACCATGGACTATTTCTTTCTCTCTCTGCTGTTCACAGTCTCTCTCTCAACCATAACATTCCTCCTGTTTCGACCCATCTCCACCGCCAGCCGACGGAAATTACGTCCACCGCCGGGAAACGTCGGTCTACCATTTATCGGAGAGACACTTCAGTTAATATCAGCTTACAAAACCGAAAACCCAGAACCCTTTATCGATTCACGGGTAGCAAGATATGGAACACTATTCACGACACACGTGTTCGGCGAGCGGACCGTGTTTCTACCGACCCGGAAACCAACCGGTTCATTTTACAGAATGAAGGACGGTTGTTCGAGTCAAGTTACCCCGGTTCGATATCCAACTTGGTTGGGAGACATTCTTTGTTGCTGATGAGAGGGTGCCTTCATAGAAAAATGCATTCTTTGACCATGAGTTTTGCTAACTCCACCATTATTAAAGACCATTTGTTGGTTGATATAGACCGGTTGGTCCGGTTGAACTTGGATTCTTGGACCGGTCGGATTCTACTCATGGAGGAAGCCAAGAAGGTACACCACGACTACTTACTAAGTTACTATCTCTTTATGTTGTTGCATAAATTTACTTTGATTTGAGTTTGACCTAGTGAGTTTAATTTTGTTCTCTTTAGTTTATTAAATTCATTGAAAATGAAAATAATATGGCAGCCTTTTGAGTTGTACTTCATGCATTAATGGTTGCATGGTGGACTATTGGTCAATCGGGATAAAGGACTCACATGGTTTTATTTTTTAACATTGCATAAAAATTGTATTTTAAGATAATGTATGGGTAAATAACTAAATATATATAATTTTCGAGGAGAATGAATAATAACATCATGTGCATGTGTAGTGAGTGAATTATGCTTGGAAGCTTCTCTATTTATTCTGTTCCATGTGTTATGATGGACATCATTATTCCTAGATTTGATTTGGATGAATTATTCTATACAAGAATAATAATGTTATAATGATTTATAAAACGTAATCAAATTAATTTGTATACTTTTACTTAATGTTTGTTGAGTTACTAACTTATAAATTGTTCAGATAACATTCGAGTTAACAATGAAGCAATTATTGAGTATCGATCCATGTGAGTGGACGGAGAAGTTAAGGAAGATATACATGCGAGTCATTGAAGGCTTCTTTTGTATTCCCAGTCCAATTTTCTCCATCACTTATCGACGTGCTATAAAGGTACAAATGGAAAGAGCAATCGTATTATAAACTTCTTTTAAATACTGAGAAAAAACATTCTATTTAACTACTTTCATCAAATTTCATTTCAGTATTTAACCAATGATTTATAATAGCATCTACAACCAATGCTAAAACTCGATATTTACATCCAATGTGGTCTTTTCTATCCTAAGACCGTGATTGGCAAAAATAAGTTATTTTATTGTAATTTATTGTTTGATAAATTAAAAAATATATATTTATTGTAACTTATAAACTAGCTAATAAGTTAATTTTTAATAAGTTATTTTAAAATAATGTTTGAGAAACTTATAAAGCTTTTTAAAAATTATTCCAAATATTCCTTTAATTATAACTGATACTATTTTCCAGTTTTATATCTAAATGTCCATTGATGTCATTTTATATTGTAATCTTGTTTATCAACTATTTTTATTATCAACTATCAACTAAGTTTTTCATTAAAAACTAACTATAAAACTAAGCTAAAAACTAGTTTACAACTGATTTGCTAAATAAGATCTAAGTCTCACATCATTGTTTACATTGGGTGATTTTAAATAAATCATTATAGCACTCATATAATGAACCCCACACACATACACATAAGGGATCATATAGGACCATCTTTGTTTATATTATTTAGGGTGTTGGTGAATAATGAAATACCATAGCTTGTATTTTACTACTAGTATTTATTTGCATCATATTTGGCTAGATTTTTTTTAATTTGGAAATTTAACTTTCAAATATCCTCTTTATGTTTTTTTTTCTACCAACTTCCTATATACTTTAAGATTGTAATAATTGTCATCTTTAATACAATTAGTATTTTTTTATTATATTTGTTATCATTTAAAAGTGATAGGAAATTTAAAAGTGATAGGAATATAGATAGGAAGAATAAGTAGGAGAATATTTAATTTCTCTATATTTAAAACTTATTTTAAAATTTTAAAATTTTGATAATTTGAAATTTAAATAACATAAATATAAGTTTAATATTCTTAAAGATGTACATGTAAGATTTATTTTAATATATGAGTATATTTTTTTATTTAATAAAATGTTTTGTTAATATAATAATTAATTCTAAAATAACCGTATACAAATAATTTAGTTTGGTTATAGTTTTCAGTCATTACAGTTTATAAAACAATTGCAAAATTGTAAAAAAAAAAAAAAAAAAAAAGGGTTATAAAGTTATATTTTAGAAAAGAAAGAAAATTGTAGAATTTTTTTTATCAAAAATATAATATATCGGAATAAATGGATATTCTCTTATTTACATAGTTACACTATTTTGGTAAACAATAAATAATGGAATAGAGATGCTCTCTAACGTTTGAAATAGTTGACACTTTCTTTGTCATATTATTGTTTTGACTAATGTTTTCTCAAGATTAATAGTATGTTTGGTAATACGATTAAATTTTGATTGATATTAAAAAACAGCATGACTGAATTAATGTGATGTGGACTTGATAAAGCTTTAAATTTACAAATACATTATCCAATAAATAACTTTCTCCAAATATATATTATATATTATAATATATAAACGTACAATAGAAGTTTTATCAAATTTACCTTTTGGATTAAATGAAACAAATGTTTATGTATGTGTCGATCAATTTTAAAACACTTGTTTTATAACATCATTTAAATATCATTCTTAATAAATAAATAACTTTTTGCTACTTGTCAATTTCTAAGGCATTTGGACACATGTAATTTTGTGGTTAATTTTTAGAAATTAAACTCCATTTGTCATTTTGTGGTAATTTTTTATTTTCTTATTTAACTATCTAATTTTTAAGTTATAAAAAGTAATTAATGTGTCATTAATTTGTTTTCTTATATTTTCAAATTTTAATATGTTTTCTTCAATACATGTAATTCAAAATTGACATGTTTCTTTTAAAGTTTATTGTCATTTTAGACAAAATGGTCTATATAAAAAAAATCAAACTTTGTTGCTTTTTATTGACAAACTAAAAAAAATGTTATATAGTCAAAATATAATTATTTTTTTGTAGTTTGTTTTATTAATATAAATTGAATTATTTTTTTATTCATTATTTTGATTGTATATATATTTTGAAATTTTATTTTAAAAAATACTTAATTTTACACTTTGATATTTAATGTTTTCTTTAAAAAAATGTTTAAAATTTATATCTTCATATATAATTTTTTTTAATCAACCTATGTCCTACACGGATTTCACACCTAATTTTTTTACTATAAAACTGGATATTGTATCATCCTGATATTCAAGATGTGGATATTAATTTTCATGTTACCAAAGTCAAGGAAAAGGGTGGCGGAGGCACTAAGTTTGGTGGTGAGGGAGAGGCGAAAGGAAAGCGAAAAGGGGTTAAAGAAGAACGACATGTTGGCGGCATTGTTCGATAGTAATGGCTGTGGTGGTGGTGATGGTGGTGGAGCTGGTTTCACCGATGATGAAATTGTAGATTTCTTGGTGTCTCTGTTGGTGGCAGGCTACGACACCACATCAACCACTATGACTCTTGCAGTTAAGTTTATAACCGACACACCGTTGGCTCTTGCTCAACTCAAGGTTAGTTTTTCTTTTATCAATTTTTTTTTGTTTATCTTTAGAAAATGATGCAATTAAACAACAACTTTTAACGACATTGATTTTAAGAACTAACAATCGTAGGTTTAATATTCCGGTAAATATATAACTTTTTCAAAAGTAAAGAAAGAAAGTGGACCTTATTATTCACTCAATAAATTCCCTTTCCATGGTAGATATCTGATCTTAATTCTCAACCATGTATTTCATAACAAAAAAAAAAAAAAAAAAAAAAAAAAAAAAAAAAAAGAAAAGAAGAAGAAGAAAAAGATTTATATAGGGGGTCTTGTAAATTAAAGCTGTATCATAAATTACATAAAGAGAAATAGTAACATTGGGACATAAATTTATGAGTCACATATGAAACTTATTTTGAAAAGTCTTTAAGAACGCAATGTAGCCAATTTCCTTATAATTGAAAAAACCAAAAGGTATACTTGTAATTCATGAGCTACTTCCCAAATCAAAAGAAATTAATTCATTAATAATTAGCTAAACTTAATAAAAGTAAGAGAAACTAACTGATCAAGATAATATATATTTTTTTAATTATTTTACAAAATTAAGATAATCAATAGTTAATTAAATTTCTCAAATAAGTTCGCTACAATGGGCACTACAAAATGATGGTTTTGCATGTAAACGATATCGTTTCGACATTTCAACTTACATTTCTCTATGAGTATCCCGCAAAATGGAGATCATATCGGAAAATGATATATTTGTCATTTACGTTTTAAGTAATTTCTAACAACTTTAAAAACACACATGATCGAGATAGGGTTTGGGTGGATTGGTTCTTCTACATCCTTCATCTTATAATCCAATATATTAACAACAATTTTTAGCTACAATCAATCAATATGATCAAATTCCATTTATAATTTTCCATTTCGATTAGCTTGCTAGAACTTATAAGTCAAAAAGCATATGTAAGACAAAGGAAACAAGAATTCAAAGTCAATCCATATGTAGTTTCATAGGGGTAGCTTTTTGATCCATTGATTCTGTGATCTGATGCACCTACGCCTTCGACAAAAAGTATGATATTGGAGATCGTGTGGCTCGGAACTCTATGTGACATTTATCATTCTTTGCATCGGGCAACGTTCCACTTTAGCTCTATATTTGACCTATTTCAACATTAACTCGTTCTATTGAATAAAATATTACTAATACCACAAAAGGAATATATCATTTTAAACATTGTTAGTGTTAGCATTTTATCAAATTCACTGTTTTCTTTATTTTTTTTGTATGCTGTATCAATTTTAATTCTCATGGTATACTATAGAGAACTGTTGCTTATATAAATTGTACAACACATATTTTGGATTGGTGTAAAAGAACATTTATATCTAAGACTGTATTTGGCGTGTCACAGCTAGCTGATAAGCTAACTTATTTTTTGAGTTTTTTTTTTATGTTGTCGTGTTTGGTAAATCAAAAAGTAGTTTAAAATTTTCCAAATATACCCCTTAATTAATTATAGAAACAGATACTCTTAAATGTCTTTATATGTAATTTTATATATTTCAGTTAATTTTATCAAACGTCATTTTTTATCAGTTAGCTTTTCAGCTATCAGTTAGATTTTTATTTAACAGCTAGTTTTTCAGTTAGTACGCCAAATATAGCCTAATTAATTATATAATTAACAGAGCATTCTAATAGATATGTATTACGAAAGAAGAGTATTTTATTCACTGTTTGGCGATTTAAAAAAATGCATCGACTAATTTAATAAACCAGTACACTTTTTGAGTAAAAAAAAAAATAGAGAAATGGTGGTATTTGCCTAGTGTTAAAACCACTAAAAGGTTCTTTTGACTCTGGTTAAAATGCCATAAAATTTTGATAACGCGTTTATTGTTGGAGTAAAGATTTTGCAATGACTATGGAGACTAGAAGTGGCAGATAAAAAAGGTTGGAAAGTGAACGAATAATTTTGGGAATGATATATACATGTCGAAAATCTAAAATACTATCTATTTAATTTTTTGATATAACTGATTAGTATGTTAAAAATTCTTATTATAATTGTTTACTATAGTGATAATTTAATATTTATATAATAAATCAATTTATGATATTGTATCATTGATAAAACACATTTTTAGCTACTTTCGAATTGTTTGATTCGTTTTATATTTACATCAAAATTTTACTTTATTTATTTGACCTATTAGAGCTAAAATATTAGACGCATTAATAGTATAATTATGATTTAATGACTTGTATATTATAGTGTAAAACAGTAAAAGCACTGAAGATATGAGAAAATTATTACTTATAGTAAGTTATAACATCTATTTTTGTTTTGCAATAAAATTGTACATGTGATAATGTTTCTTAGGAACAATTATGAATTTTATTATTTTTTATCATTATAAATATTACATGTTTCAAATATCGTTAAAAAACATATAATCCTCTTTCAGTTAATGTATTCCTTAATCCTTTATAGGATGAACACGACGAAATTAGGGCAAGAAAAGCTGCATCAGCGTCTCTCGAATGGGTAGACTACAAATCCATGCCATTCACACAATGCGTAAGAACACATTTGCAAAACATTTTCAAATAATGTTACCAGGAAATTACAATTTTGTCCCTATGCTTTATTCAATATTGCAAATCTTTCAAATTTTAATAATTATCTCAATGCCGTCCTTAAATGTGCATTTCATTGGGGATATGGTCCCTTTGTTCTACACAATCTAAACTTTATTCCAAATTTGAAGTCATTTTATACGAGTGAGGGATCATATTCGCAACGAAAATACAAACGTAAGGACGATATCTTGACAATTATAAAACTTGGACTGAACTTACGAACTTTGGTAAAGAAAAAGGATCAAATTTATAATTTACTTACATGTTATATGCCTATTTTGGTAACATACCTTTTTTTTCAGGTCATAAATGAAACGTTAAGAGTCTCTAACATAATTAGTGGCGTATTCAGGAGAGCAATGAAAGACGTTGATATTAAAGGTATAGTAGTATAGTATATGCATATTTGTTGATATTTGATGTATTCATATATAAGTTAAGCTATTTTTAATAAAATTAAATTCAAACGTATGACGTATTAAATCGGTGAATCTCCATGTTATGTAGGTTATACAATTCCAAGAGGATCCAAAGTGTTCACTTCCCTTCGGGCTGTTCATCTTAGTCAAGACAATTTCAAAGATGCTCGTGTTTTTGATCCTTGGAGATGGGAGGTCTGTATAATCATCTCCTCTCCCCTTTTGATTTTTCAAAAAATGTTTATTATAACAATTATATCACAAACTACTTTAGTGATATTAAGAATTCTCTTATCAAATTTCAGTATTTAGTATCTGATAATATTATGATGGTTACTTATATTATGTAATTACTAATTATATGTATAGAAAACGTCAGACCCAACAAAATTTCATGCCATTTGGGGGAGGGCCAAGGAGATGTCCGGGTTATGAGCTAGCCAGAGTGTCACTCTCCGTTTTTCTTCATCATCTCGTTACTCGTTTTAGGTAACAAATTTATAATTTTCATATTCATGTTCTTTTTCATTACAAAACTATTCTTATGGTCTAACTTAAAATTGATTATACTCTTTTAAAGTTGGAAACCCGCAGAAGAAGATAAATTGGTGTTTTTTCCTACAACAAGGACTCAAAAGCGATATCCTATCACTGTGCAAAATCGTAGTAGTATAGCAAAGCAATGTATAGAATAAAGAAAGGAAAGGAGTGTGGTATAGATTTGATATGTAACAAAAACATTAGCATGTAAGTTTAGAATATTATAAGTTCAAAGTTTGTTAGGGCAAATGTCGGAAAAATACAACCTAGTATAGGTCAATTGTCAGAAAACCAACTATATTAATTTTGTGCCTATTAAACCCTCCTTTTTTAAACCGTCTCCTATGTGTTATTTGCAATACCAAAATATTAATATAAAGTACAGTCGTATCGAAAAAGACTTCAAGTGAAACCTAGAAGCCGAATAAGCACTCCAAAATTTAAAGGAACCATTAGCCACACTATCTATCCTAACAACACCAACACTTGGAGAAACATTAATAATATACCTATTCGCAATCAATGTAGAAAATTTGTGAGTCCTAGTAGCCAATAGCGATTCCCACATAATCCCAATATACTTTGTCTGTGGAACATTACAAGGAGTCGAAGGCGGATACACCAACATTGAAAAGTTAGCACTACCTATCACTAGTTCATGAAGGCTAAGGAGATATTTCGAAGCATACCCAATACAAGTGCTTGCCAACGAACCAATAAGGCAAATACTTCTAAAACCTAAGAAGTTTGTATGAATAGGAATTCGAGATAGGAGAACACGAAATAGAATACCACCCTATAAACGAACTGTTACAAAAGACGACTCAACCAAAAATTGCAGCACAAACCGTACATCATCCATGAGAAAATGGTATAGCAAGGCAAGAAGGAAAACATACGTTATATATAGCTAGATCATCCAAAATGGAAGGCTCAAGGATCGGCCTATTACTCACTAGCCCAATAGAGAAGAAGTAACATATACATTATGATTCGACTTCCAAACATTATACAACAAATCTGAAACGAAGCATTAATCGTCGGAATGCGATTGGCAATCAAATTAGCTTCTTTATTAACACCATTCGTTGATTACATTATAGTAATTCCCCATGCGACCTATCGATAACCGGTGTTGTATTCTCCAACAAAGAAAACCGACGAATGTCAGTCACAACTACAATAATACGATAATCAATTTCTATTTATTTGGATTCCCAGATGGCGTACAGAAGGATGAGATACGAAAACCATTTACCAGTTTCGAGTAAGTAATGGATGTTTGCATAGGTGGAAAAAAAAGATTACTACGGAAAAACTATGAGTTCATAAGGTTCAAAGGAGTAATGGATGAGAAAGATTTAGAAAAGTCACAAATTGACATCATGTTTCGTGACAAGGTTCGTGAACCTTGCAAAGCATTCGAGAAAGACGATACATCAGCCCAAACCCATCCCCCGTCGGCAAAATATGGCTCCTCAATTCGCCTCCCCCCTAATGGGCTCAAGGATTGGAGATCCTTTTTCCCAGGTTGTTGCGGGTTCAGGCGATCCAATTCCCAAGTCTCGCATTGCTCAAATTGCTCTCAACCGAAAAACACATATGAAGGAATGGTTGCGAAAGAGCGTCCTTATCGGTGAGGCCCACAACTTAGACCACATCGGAAACGTACCAACATCTTTGCTCATGAGAAAAGGTACGAAATATCTTGGTGGTCTCAACATTTCCCTGCACTTCAGTCATTCATGGATGCACATGAATTCCTGGAAGATAAAGAAAGACGAAGAGATTGGTTTAAATGGTTGATACATGGGGACCAAGTGTAACTCCGATATGAGCGAACGGTGTGGCTCATAATCTTGGGTTTGCCTTTGAAACTCTAGGATGAAGATAATTTTTCCTTGATAGTGAGTAGATTCGGGATAGTTATCAATCCATTTGATAGCATCAAGAATAGGCGAGATCTCTCAATGGGTAAAGTCGGTATACTAACTTGAAATGGATCAATGAGGAAGTTATATTACTGTCGAGGGCGAGACCTATAATGTGGGCATAATTGAATAAAAGGATGTATGGTCACCATTTAAGCCATGCCCTTTTGATAAAGGGGGTGGGGGGAGACTCGGTGAACGATGAGGAAGATGATGATGACATTTATGATACACGGATGCAGATGAAGGGAGACGAACCGAAGATGGTGAATTTCGTCCTAAAGAAATCCTAACAATCAAGGTAATGAACAAAACTGATGACCCAAAGATGATCCCAGTCAACCCAAATTCATCTTTTCTGATAGTCGTTGTGGCCGTCCCGACATTGAGGCTAACGGTTTCGGGTTCGCTATCAATCTGATTACCCCAACGGTCAACATCTCGATGGAGAATGAAACACCGATTATCGATAGGTCGCATTGAGAATTACTAAACCGGGAAGTCAAATTGGTTGCATCGGGAACTGACGTTGTACTGCATGTGGCGGCAGATATACTAGATGTAATTGAGTTGGAATCAGTTAACCCCAAAAATGGTTTCTCAAAGGTAAGGTGTGGACCGGTAGAAAACCTTGGACTATGGGGATTGTTTAGGTTATTCCCTTCTATTATCGGCCTCAATAATTTTGGTAACCTAAATAAGAATCTAACAAGTGAAGCCCATGTTAATAATGACATTCAGGTTGGTTCCCGAGTCAAAAAGAGACGCATTGACATAACTGGTCCCAGATTGTCGCCATACAATAATCAATCTCCAAATCGGATCAATCGCCTTTATTCTCCTCTATCTACTCCGCCTCCTCCTCCCCACCCCCTGAAATTGTTTCACTTGATCTCAACAAGAACCCTACTATTTCCATACCTCACATCTCCGACACAACTAGTGGGGCGTTCTCTTCTCACACGAATGAAATTGAAGCCATGTTAGAAATTAGGGCTGGAACAGGCTTCCAGATCGACAATAACAATGAGATTCTTATGGAAATCATGGGCAAAAATGGTGGTGCAGATTGTGATCAATGAGCTGTATTTCTCTGAATATTAGGGGTATTGGAGAAGACGTGAAAACCAACTGGGTGAAAAACTTAAAACAACAAAAATATCAATTTCTTTGGTATTCAAGAGACATGGTTGTGTGATTATCTTAGTAGAAATGTTGTTGGTAGTTGTGATTCACCTGACTTTGATTTTGAAGGTGTTGACGCACATGGTAGATCGGGTGACATATTGAGCGCCTGGAACAAAAATGTATTTACTAAATTAGAGGTAATAACGTCAAGATATTTCCTCATCATAATCGCGGGATGGAGTGGAATGGTCGGTAACACTATAACTGAAAATATATACGACCCTCAGGCCGCTTCAGATAAAATTAAATTGTGGGAGGACATGTTAAGTATTAGACAAGAAAAATTTGGGATGTAGGTGATATTTGGTGACTTCAACATTATGTGCAGACCGGAAGAGCACTTTAACTTACAATATTGTGCAAAAATTACACGTGCCTTCAACTGCTTCATTCATGATGTTGGGTTGCATGGGCTTAACTTGGGCAGACACGAATTTATGTACTTTCGTCAAGATGGTGCCAAATTAAGCAAGCTACACCTGTATTTCATATGTCTCAATTTCTTTTCAACTAATCCATTTGTTGTGGTTACGGCCCATCCCTACGAGTACTCTGATCATTGTCCTGTTACTCTTCTTTCTTATGTTGTGGACATTGGCCCTCCCTTTTTAAAAATTTCAATTCATAGCAGATGAAGGCATGGATTAATGATGTTGTTCAATCATCTTGGGAAAAATTCAAAGGCTTTGGTACCGTTATTTTGTACTTGGCTGCTAAATTCCGTTTCCTAAAAGAAAATATATGTATATAGAGGAATATTACATTTAAACAGGAGAACCATGATGTAACGTCTCAAAAATAGTAGTAAAATTTTCATTTTTAAAACATTAATTCCGTCCAACCATTTGCTTCAAATCCAATCATAGTAAAATGTATTTTTCAAACTTCAGAGTAATACAATAACATTCGGTGCGGAAAAGCCATTAGGGGATGTTGTGCAGTCAAATCAGGCCCTTCCCTTTGGAATTGGAAGTAACTTAAAAGTGTTTAAACCACAAACCGTAAGCACAAAGCTTAGTAAGTTCTCCCAAAATACCGCATACCATACATATCAACGAGATCAACCCTCACATTGTGCCTAACCCATAATAACGGGCCCAACCCTACATACCAACAGGCCCATCCCACATATCAATATGTCCAACCCGACATACAAATAGGTCTGACCCGACATATCAATGGGACCAACCCAACATGAAAATAGGCCCAACCCAACACATAATGCAAGAGTCATAACGACAGCTAGCATCCTACACACTATTGTGAGGAAATTCAACTGACTCCCGAAATCAGCTAAACCACAACTCTCTGCTACGCGGTCGGTGCTACAACACACCTATCAAAACACACAAGGTCCAACCTTAGCCTAAGCGTTGAATCCAACCATCTTGACAAAAAGTGAACCCAAGTCAACAATCCAATGGTCAAGGTCAAATTCGTCGGCCAATAACATCAACCATTGAGCCTCACGTCGTGACCAGCCCTTGGTCACTTTGTGAGAACTGACTTAGCCCGATTCTAACTCAACTCGTTCCAACCCACCCAACTCGATCACGGACAACACACTCAGCAAGCATTACGATGTGAACCCTCATTGTTCATGTTGTGATCATGAAAAAACAATATAATCATGAATTCCTTCATGGTCACGTCGTGACATCCCCTATGTCACGTCGTGACCGCATTTTGAAGCAACAATCTGATAGTTTGAGTCCTTAATCCCTTTAGTCTCCAACTCCAATTTTTCTAGAAGCTTAAGGGGACTCCAAAGGTCCATAAAACTTACAAATTTAGGACATGCATGCCCCATTCATGTCATTTATCCATTCTAGGTCAAAGGCCAAGAAAATGACTTCAAACTCATGCAATGATCCCAATCCACAACCAAATCCCAGATCCAAACCAAATAATACTAAAAGGCTCCAAGGATCCATAAAGTTGCCAAATTTATGGAATCCCATCACTTCAACTTGCTTAAACTTGAAAATAAAGGGACAGACACTTAGAGCTAGCAACCTAGAAGCATAAAGGTTGAATCTTGGACACTTACAAAGGTCTATAATGAGCACAAAGTGATGATGATGATGTTTCCTTGCTAGATCCACAACTAGAACACTCAATGTTCTTGACCACTCTATGGTCACGTCGTGACACTCAGTTTTCCCAAAAAACCAAGCTTTTGAATCCTTATAGACCTAAACCGAGCCTTTCTGGAAAACTAGTGCTACAATTCTCCCCCATTCAAATTAGATTTCATCCTCGAAATCATTCCTTACAACTTACTCTGCCATACTAGACGACCCTGTCAGAACTTCCTGAATACTAATTAGGACAGAGAAGTTGTATCGCACCGACGATCGCCTATCAACATTGCTATTGAATCCCCGACTTAGCACAAATCATATACCATGACAAAGAACGAACCTTAACACTTCACCCTCAGACACCAAACAAAATCCAATTGCTCTACCCGAAAACTAAAAACCCTAAACCATGTCTGACTTCCAGGCAGACATTACCATCCTATACCACATCCATAATATCTTCACTCTATAACCTGAACCGAATGAATCTGTCCAACCCTGAATCATCTTGCTGATAACTAGAAAAACATAATCCTTAACCACTAACTGGTGTCGATAACCTTGCACCCAAAAACAAAGGCGGCTCTCAATGTGAGTCTTAACCATTGGTGCTAAGCCAATACATAACTCACATCCTGATAAACAAAAATTCGCATATTCGATCTATCCAAAATTTCCTAAGTTCATGTCGACCTCCTAATAAACTGGGATGCAAAAATCCTTGACAACTTGCTAACATTGAGAACCTCACGTACGATCAATCAACGAGACTCCGTCTAAGAGTCTAACTGATAAAGGTCACCCTAGCCTATTTTCCACATGAATCCAACCCTCTAATCGTTGAGCTTTCCTCCTCCATACTTGCTCTGCCCCAACCATGTTAGTCAGTACTGGGTCCCACCCAAATGGGTCATACACTCATTAATTCACAATACATCGTGACACCATTCAATCCACTTGAACGTTAAGATCACCAAACACCCTGATCTTGCCAACATTCCATCCTAGCGGATACTACGACCAACCCGTAGTCTTTCAATACTTCCACAGTAGCCATGGGCCCAGCCTATGGTCTTACCAACTATCCACCATAACAAGCCAAAATCAACATCAGCCGAAACCCATCCTGCAAGAACCCAAATCAGGTGTTCGGGTCGTGCTTCGAACCCCAAAGCCTTCATCAGATAAGAACATGCAGAGAGGTTCTAACACAACCCTCAACTGGAACCTACTGCATTTGCTTCCCTGATTACTACCGAACAATGAACATTATTCCTTTCATAAACCCTGACTAATACTACAACCAGAACTGACTCACCACTTGACCCAGGATATAGAATTCCACATTGATTCACACTTGAAAATATTCCCATTAATCCAGGCGGTTCTCCCCCACTTAGATTTCTCTACACTCTGCCAACCTCATAAACAATGAATTTCCAAACCACCTCACAACCTTACTACTCCACTGCTATCATCCAGAGCTCACAAGAACTAAGATCTCATGACCAAAAAAGCTAGGGTACCCACACCTCATACCAAATTAAACACTTCACTACTCCTGACGACAGATTTCCGCATCCAAAGCACCTTCCCCTGATAC